CACACTTCTGCGTTTCAATGAGGCCTTTTCTTTTTTACCACTAAGATTGATGCAAATTCATATTCGTGATTCCCCCGTCAAGCATAAGTACATGTGGCTGTATTGTAAAGGCTGTACTGTAGTGTTATGCCATTACAATTTTCTGGAAAAATAGTATAATAAGTGCAAACACAGTGATGAACTATTATGACAAGTGTAGACTACACACTTTTATTTAGAAGTATGACTCTAATTTTCAGTGGAGCAGTATGCATTGTATAGTTTATTATCTAATATTTTCATCAAGCCATGCTTGGGCCTATTGTGCAGTCATATTTCTTTTCTGTTGTGCCATGTACAAAGGTCATGTAAAAAAGTAAACCACATCAAAATGTAGTACAGTGTGTTAAGTCCTGTAAGGGGGTAATAAAAGGTAAACTATTAACTCCGCCATGAACGAAAAAACACGTCAGTCACATGTATAGAGACAGTGGTCACGTGTACCATATAAACTATAGTAACATCTTCAGTTAAATTCTGAAGTTTCTTTTAAAGCCCTTAGACCATGCCTAAATTTACAAATGTGGATAATCAGATAAAAGATCATGCAATCAATCAATAAAATTGTATCAACTTAATTATGCCATTATAAGTTGATACAGTTGATATATAAATTATTATTTCTTATGTCCTACTTTATTATTAACTATTAACTATTATTCTAATAAACTATTTATTAATTCTTAACTATTTATCTAATATTAATATTGATTTCCATATCATTGCTATGTAAATTCTGCACTTGAGCTGTATCTTTACCCTTCCACTCTTTGACTAAATGGAGTTTTGCGTTCTCATGTAGGATGAATTAGCGTTTGGTTGGGCTTCGCTGCTCTGATTCACCAGATGGCCGTGAAGGAGGGGGTACATTTCTCACACTGACTTAGGAGAACGCTGCCAGCGCTTTTGTGCAGCCAGGGAGTTTGAGAGATTTTTTTTTTCCAGTCTCTCTGTCCTTCTCTCTCCCCGTCTCTCCGTTTGCACTGAATCACGCGAGGGGTGTAGAGATGAAGTCTAGTTTATGAGAGATGCTTTATCTTTAAGCCATCTCATTTAGCCTCCCTGTCTTCTTTCCCTGCCGTTTGTTGTTGGAAGCTGAATTATTTTTGCGTTGCCTCGCGAATACTGATGCTGCTGCCTGTGTCTCTTTTCTTTTTACTATGTATCTTTTTCAGGTCTTCTACTATCTTTCTTTTCTAGGTCTTCTAATATCTCTGTTTTCTAGGTCTTTTACTATCTATCTTTTCTTTTTTCTGTACCAATTGATTCATTTTATGGCTGATTTTATGGCTGATAAACCTTTGGAGTTTTATTTGCTAAAGTTGGAAGCAACAGAAACAAAGACCTTTTTTTGCTGTATAACTGGGGCTGAACAGTTTGGGCAAAATATCTCATTGTGATTTTTCTGACCAGTGCTGGGACTGCTATTTAAATTGCAATTATGTTCTGTAACATAGGGCACAGAACTGTTCAAACGCTGAACATAATATGTCAAACTGCCAGTTATTCATCGTTGTGATGTCACAGCACATTAGGGCTTGGTTGCTTCTGATTGGCCAAACCCATCTACTGGCAGTTCACAAACTCTGTGTTAATATGTTAAGTTTCCCCATTAAAAACTTTGTTAGTAATACCGATTTGAAAATACTGTAATTTGATATAAAAATAATAGACCTTTCAGACATATCTTTACCTGAAAGTTGCAAATGATCAAAGTGAGAAAGACACAAGCAGGTAGAAGAGCTTAACAATTAGTTTAAATGCAGCGTACATATACTTTTTAAAATTATAACAGACATCGCCCTCAAGATAAAGAACTATAGTAAAGGAAGTTGCATGGAATTACTGTATGAATCTTATAGCAGTGGTGAAACATGACTGCTGGAGCAGTTTGGGCCATAAATGTCAAAATGTGGCCAGAAAACAAGAAAATACCTTCTATGAAAATGCTCATTTCTGCTAGCATCCTTATGGGATCTCTAATGGTGCGTGAGCGCTAAGCTAATAATGGTACACATTAACATTTTTTGGCAGTTCCAGATTAAACATAGACATTCTAAGCCATTTTATAGGTTTTACCTAAAGCTTGTAACAGACATTAACATATATTTGACCTTGTATGTATCAGTTTTACAGTATGCCAAGAGCATAGAGCTGTTTTCCCTTTCTAACAGCAGACCGGAATCTGGTTAACGGCTTGTATTCTGTCAGTGACGAATCTAGAACTTCCGGAAGGCTTAGAGTGACATTTTTTTGTCAGAAAATTGGTCCCATTGGAAATCAAAACATCATAGGTTGATTCCTCTGTCACTTCCTAGTTGTTGGCAATTTAGGCCTTCTGTCCAGCTCCTGAATGGCTAATCAGTGGGAGAGCTCACTTTGCTGTATCTACATAGATTCTACGAGGGACAACATTTTGATTGGATTGTTTTCCATTGGTCGTTTTAGTATCTTAACCCTTTGTTTTCATCGAACAGTGAAGTAAAAATATAGTACAATACTTGCAGAGTTTAAACACAACAGGCACAAATATTCCATTAAAAAATTAAGCTAAAAATTACAGACGTTTATTCTTTTGTTTTCCGGAAATCATCAGGTGTTCTCTGAAGGCATAGAAGTCCTTGAGGGTTCCCCACTGGTTTACTGTGTCTGTAGATTACAGACATTACTACAGGAATTCTATAAAAGGCAAAAATATTATTGATTATTATAGCACTGCACTACAGCACTGTAGAAATCTCATAGTTTCTTGTAATGCTACTGTAGCTCTTTCTGTAAAGGTGAATCAATATAAAAATAGATGTGTTAAGAGCAAAAATCTGCCAGTTCTGATCCTGACCGATTCCAGTCATGCCCCCCTACTTTTTTCCTTTCTTTCCATTCCCATCGTCCTTCCTCAACCCTTCCTCTCCTTTCTTTCTCCCTGTCTTTTTCCCACCTCCCCCCTCTGTTCCTGAGAGGTGCTGAAAAGAGAGCGGGCGTGTGAAGCTGGGAGAGGTTGTGACAGGCCTGCCTGATGCCCTCTGTTGTTTGCAGTGTGACTGATGAGCCAGACTGATGCACAGTGACACAGCCGGGGCAGGTGGACACCAGGGATGGAGCAGAGACCACAAAAGCCCTCTTTTTCCAGTCTCTCTCTCTCTCTCTCCCTCCCTCATTCTCTCCCTCCTGCCCCGCTCCACTCCGCCTTTGTACTTTGAACTGTTGAGCAAGTTTAATTCGTTAGGCTTGATTCGTTTGGTGTCCTCCAAACGAAAACCACACTCTATTATTAGATTCACTCTTGTTGTAAACAGACTTACTAAAGAATTTGGTTTTCCTAACTTGGGGAGATTCGGAACAAATACACTGATTGTTTAAATGTGAGAGCAGCGTAATCTCATCCGTATCTGAGCACATCAGGCTTCCACACGGTGGAAATAACAACAAGGCATGCAGGGCTGGCTACGTCAACATGAAGCGCTGTTCTGACACTAGACTTGGCCTTGGCTGTGATTCAGCGAACAATTGGAAATGTCTGCTTCTTAAACAGTCAGTTTAGGCAGTGGGTCACCTTGTCCTGTGTATGTACACCAAAAGTGTGAAAGCAAGCAGTTAAGGCAAATTGTCAACGACGTGACATACAGTTTAGAGTCTGATTGTTGGATTGGTCAGCCGATTATATTGGCTGATGACCTACAGTTTTATCTGCAGCAATAATTACTAACTGCAGCATTGCAGGGAATCAAACTCACCATCTCCCAAGTATGAGGCAAAATCTTAGACAGTTGCACCTTTTGGGAGCCCAGTATAAGTCACCCCCGTTTTTAAAACATACAGCATGAATGCAGGTTGAACTGGTACATTTTAACACAAAACCCTCATGGTTTAAATAACAAAAACATGTGAAATGTGTCCAAACCTCACCTTTAACAAGTTCTAACACAAAAAACACTTTGAAGAGAAGTGTTCAAAAAATAATTGGTAGCAACCGAAAACTCAAAGAATTGTGTGCAGCTCCACCCCCAGTGTTAGAATATGTGTAATTTAAGGCTGTACTGGTCAAAGAAAGCAACAATGGGGAATTGACAACCATATCTTTTAATAAAGCATAGTTGAACTAAAACTGTAGGAGTATACTAATTCTAAAAATTAAAAATGATAGAATATATAAAAGTATTCATGTAAATATTGGCTGATAGTATTGGTTAGAAGAATTTGCACCCCACTAAGTTCCAAAAATCATGTAAATATTTTAAAAATTTGACTTCTCGCTCAAATTGTTGTGCTGTTTTGTTTTAAATTTGTAAAAAGTGGCATTTTTAATAGAAATCTCAGACATTTGAGTCCCACTTTATTACTGTCTGTTCTTTTGAAATGAAAAACAGTGCACAGTTTTAGTGCACAATTTCTATTTATTTGCTGAGTTTAAAAATTGGGAGAAATTAAAACAAAATATAAAGTGTTCATGACTTTTGCACAGGCCACATTTTATGTTTTCTTTCCCCACTATGTTAAATTCAGCAAATAAACAGTGCTTGTGCATTAAAATGTGTGTGTTCTCTGTAGAGGATGTGTTTACTTATTTTCACTTAGAAAATTAACAAAAACATGTCATTTGGCCAGGGGCGCCCAAACTTTTGCATTCAGCTGAGCTAATGAAGAACAGAAAGACTCGCACGCACTCAGAGACCTGTCTTCAGTTTCCCTTCGATGGCCGTTTGATGCTGTATTCATGAAAAGCTGGAGGCGCGGCTGCTCTAATGAGCTCTCTCACACTCTCTTATTACTTAGTTCATTCTCATGGTGTAAGTGACAGAGTTGCCCAGAAGCCTATGTGAGGGCAGGGTCTTGATTATGCAGTCACTTCTATGTCCTTACTCATCCAGTCGATTCAGGCTGCTTTGCTTTGGAAGTCAAGTTCAGTATTATCTTTTAAATCTGATTCCTTTTGATTCAGTGTCTCTCCTGGTCTCTTGCAGGTGCGGGCGAGTCTGGGAAGAGCACCATTGTGAAGCAGATGAAGTGAGTAAAAGAATATTCTCTCCTTTTATCTCTTCTTCCTCACCTCCCCATCCGTCCTCCTCCTGCCTGATCTCATTACACTTTCAATATATTAACATGGTGCATTTACATTATGATTCACCCTGTGTTCACTCTTCTAGATTGAGCTCGAGAAGCTCAGTGCTGCTCAGGAGACTGTAATAGTGCCTGAGGCAGTGCTGACTAAAGTAGCCATTAAATGTTAAAGTGCTGAGCAGAACTCAGAGGCTACATTTCATTTATTTAATTTCCAGTCAAAACAGTCGTTAAGTACAAGTTCATTTTTCAGCATCAGGAAAAAACTTATACTTAACAGAAAATTACAGTATGATAAGGCTTCAGTACTTTGACCCAATCCCATTTCTTATTTTTACCCTCACCCCTTGTTTTCGAGTGAACTGAGTTACAAGGGGTAGTGGTAGAAATCTTCTTCTATGAAATGGGACCCTCAAATTAAAAAGAGTATTACTTCATTAACAGCTACTAGCGCTGCTCTGTAGGCGACCCAGCCAGTCTGCAGTGATAGCAGAGGAGGGTAAAGTTCAGCTCCTGGGCTTTAGTTACATTTAGGGAATCATATGCCTTCAAAGAGGGGGACAATTATTTATTATCACTCCTGATTCCTCAGTGATATGAAGCTGAAGTCAGATATTCATCAGCTTCTTGTTCGAATTTTCCCATTCCACCTTAAATGGAGCAGCAGTTACATTCTGGCACTTCAGGCATCAGAACTGTGGACTATTTAAGGTGGAACAAGAAATTTTGGTATTTAGCTACCAAGACATCAGCATGCTACTAGCGTTTTTATATGCTTGTTATGAAGAAAAGGATCATAATACATTGAAACGACATTAAACTGAGATAATACGATGGTTATCGTAATTTTTAACAGAGAAAATTCTCACATTCACGTTCAGCCATCTTGCCTGTTTTTATTTTTTTCTCATAACACTCTGTTTGGAGTGAGTATCTGGAAATCCTCAGTTTGGGGGGCCATGTAGCCCTAATACTTCGCCCTACCCTCTATCTCAACAAAAATTGGGACACCCTACCCCTAGACGTGAATGAGCAAAACAGAGGGTTAAGGGTTAAGTGATAGGGGCAAGGGGTGAAATGGGATTGGGCCTTAGTGCGTCCACTTTTTTAGCTTCCATTCTTTTCATGAGACTCGCTTTCAGCTTTTCAAAGAAAGCTGCAGGGATATTTTTTTCAGTCCTCCAAAGTTCAGTCTTAGAAGTTCGTTACATTTTCACATTCAATGTGAAGTAAGAGTGGAGCTTGATTTTCTCCTCTCTCTCAAAGATGAAAGCTTTAAGTGCTGTTTATCTGATGGGGACAGTTTTGCACGCTTGTTACGAGGCCCATTTTCTCTGCCGCTTTTAATCGATTTTTGAAGTCCAGTTTTGGAAACTCCTGTTTTTTCCTTAGTTTAGTTTGACTTTCCCCTTCCATGCAAGTGAATTATCTTATATCTAATGTTCTGAAAAATTAATAACTTGTACTCAGTAGCTATTTTGATTGGAAATTAATAAATGAAGAATTGTCTCTGGCTTTTCCATAGTATTATATATAAATGTACAGAATTTTCATCTTAATGCAAATGTACTCAATCAGGCAAGACATGATTAGTGTCTGATTTGCCTCTTTAGATTTTCACTGGAGATAATCTAATGTAGCTGACAAAATGGGTGAAATTCAAGCCTAAAAAATGCCGCTACTGCTGTTTTAGCTATATGATGTATTTTGGCTTTTAAATATAAAAGTATGATATACAATATAAGCCAACTATCTGAGATATTTGTAGCTCCACTGCAAATTTAAGAAGCCAGCTTTGGGCAACAAACATGTCTTTGTTGATTGACTATGTTTAAGATAACGACAAAAGTATTTGATTTGAACTGTTCCTCTAAATGAAACCTCTGCTGCCCCTTTGTTTTGGTTTGGCAGCAATATTCTAAGAATGACATCAGCGGAGAGATACTGTGCCCCTGTGTTTTATAGCATCTCTTCGCTTATCTTAGCACAGCGTTTCATTTCCTTTGTAAACCTGTGGTGCCAAACTCGGCCCCAGCAGACCTTTATCACTGTGCTTTTAGCCAAATACGAATCAGTCCACTTATGATTAATGAACACCGTCTCCTAATGACTCCAGGAGCCGTCCTAGTTTTGATGCTGCTCTGGTGGGCACTGCTGATGCACTTGGTGTCTAGAAGTTCTGGTCTTGTTTGCTCTGAGCAGCTACTGCAGACAGGAGTTGTTCTTGCGTGCTGATGTGGGAGCAGCTGTATCATAATCAGTTTAGTTAATCAGAATGTTACTTCCTCTAGCTCCCTTATTAGGGCTGGACAATACTCATAGTTTTTGAAAATATGTTGAAGTATTGTAATGTTGTATTTTTGCCATAACCTGTATATATTTTGACATTCATATTAACCCTAATATGTTACAGTTATTGCCAGTGATAACAACTTGATATTACCGTGCAATGAAAATGGTTTCAGTATTTATTATGGTGTATATAGTTATATTTTCAAATAAAACCCTTTTATATGCTATATAAACCAGTTTTTGTAGAACAGTAACAGTAGCTTATTATAAATCCTTTACATTTTTAACACCCAAAGTAAACCTCATTATCATCATGATCTTAAACCGCTTAATCCAGTTAGGGTTGCGGTCAAAGTGACTGCGACCCCAAAGTAAACCTTTATTGTGCAAACTAGTGAAAAAACTGGACAAAATATATGTATGTATGTATATATATGTGTATATATATATATATACATATATATATATATATATATATATATATATACATAAAGCTATGTGAGTAATGCTTTCACTTGCCCTGGTTTGCTAAATGTTGAGTCATGTTTTAATTTGCAAGGCTGAAGTTGGCTTTGCACCATTTAAATTGAAATGGGAAATTAAAAAAAAACTTTACCTACGTCAAATTTGTCAAGTCATTTATTGCATACATATGTCCCATATACTCGTTCCTCTGACCAGCAGACACTGCTGGAATTTGGAAAATGTGGTCTTGCGTAGTCATGGTCTTGTGTAGTCATGGCTTGTTGCATGGACAAGTCCGAGAGACCACAACGCCGTCTGATGCAGCTGACCGAGTCCAGACCTCATTGATCTGGAATCCATATTAACCCACCCAGCTTAGCAGTGGTTTGCACTGTCAATATGTTGCATTCTCAGCTCTTATTTATGGCACAAGGGTGTGTGATGGTTCAGATGAAACTAATAGCTGACAGACTAAAAGGTTCAGTAACACAAAAAAATTTAAAGCACACAGAGCAGAACATCTGAAATATTTTATTATTCCAAAAGTTAACTAGGCTTGCAAGATGTTTATTGGAGATATACATGTTTGTCTGTGAGTAGGCAAAATTTGAATGTAGACCAGATTAGCACAAAAATAATGAATGACCTCAGTTACAATCATCTCTAAAGACTACTTAGTCCATCTGCTACGCAAGACCATATTTTCCAAATTCCAGCAGTGTCTGCTGGTCAGTGTCTGCTGGTCAGATTCTGCAAGCCATGTTTACATTAATCAAACCAGTGCAGTCTTTTAGCTACGAGTGTTACAGTGTCAGGTTTTCGTGTCTAATAAGGAGGTTTTAGCCAAGAGAGCTGCACCTTGTGTATGTGAATACATGTGTATAAGTGCATTAATATTTGTCTTTAAACAGAATGTTTTAGTCACAAATGTGAGTGATGTGTGATCCTGTTTTATCTGACTGATTTATCAAGCTAACTGTCAACAGCTAAGAAAAGCTAGCTTTACAATGATCTTACCATTTTTATTGAAATCATATTAAAATTAATGTTAGCAAATACAGTAATCTAGATAAAGATGAGCTCACCTTAGGGTACTCAGGCATACCTGCTAATAGTCTTGACATCAAGCTGCGAGTCTTCCACCGAGTTTAGTCCAAATTTTTTCAGCTTCTGGAATGAAATAAAAAGGCTCCCGAATGGCACAACCGTCTAAGCGTTGGCCCTATCACCAGGAGATCGAGAGTTCGGTCCCTGGTGATGCTACAGCCATCCGTAGCCGGGAGTCCAAAAGAGCACAATTGGCCTCGCTCTTTGGGTGGGTAGGATGCCCCCCCACCCCGTCTCCCCCCTTCACTCAGCGCGATGCTAGTCAGCGCAGGCGTCTGTTAGGTGATGTAGCCGGTCTGGCGGTTGGCGCTTTCCTCCGAGCACGTTCGGCTGTCCAGTGACGTTGCGTGAACAGCAGTTCGAAAAGATGCGGTGGCGCTTCACAGGTCTCGGAGGAAGCCTGTGTTAGCCTTCACCCTCCTAGTGCTGATAGTTTCGTGTGACTGGGGGAGTCCTAACTAGCAGGTATAATTGGAGACAACTAAATTGGGGAGAAAATTGGGGAAAATCCACCAAAAAAGGAATTAAATAAAAATAGCTCCACCCTCCAGATGATTAGTAGAATGTGTCTGAATTACACGTTCCTCTATAACACATTTTCACATCTCTTAATCTAATAATTCTGACTAATTTACTGCCACCGTCGTTCTCACTGTAGGTTTGTTTTCCCTTAGCAGATGGACTAAGTAGTGTTTAGAGATGATTGTAACTGAGGTCATTCATTATTTTGCAAATGGTTAATTGTGTTGAAAATGCACTTTGATACGTAATGGTTGTGTTTGTAAGTATAATATGTGATATTTAAAAGGGATTTTTGCCTTTTTTGGGAAGAAAAAAGTTTACTTTTTTTTTTGACATTAAAACAAATAAAAAGTCAGTCCAGTTGATACAGACTTAGATCAAATGTACATATACTTCATTATGTAAATATGCAATTAATAATGTAAATACAACTAATTAGGACAACAAAGTGACAAAATCTCTGGACTTCTGGGAAACAGTGAAACAAAGTTTGTGTTTTAATAATTAGATAAATTGAATAAATAAAATGATGAAAGGCCAGTGGTTTCAAATAAATGACT